TATATGGGGTTGCCTACATGAATCTTGTTTTGCCAATCTATTCCATTTAAAACCAGTGCTTAAATTATTTTTTACTATTCAAATCCATGTCCTTTTTGGTTTACTCCGAAGCTTTTGTAGCATTTAATAAATCACTTTTTCTGTGGAGTTAATGGTCTTCTATGCATTTATCCAAATCATCTTAGTCTAATTGATTATATTAAATAGTATTATAATAGATTATATTAAGGTCCCGTTCATTTTCTGGTAAGTTATTTACTCGGGTATATGTAGTTACCTTACCCGGGTAAGTGCATTTACCCATGTTCTTTTATTTCTCATGTAAATAAGGCAATGACCATTTTAGCCATAAAAATCCATTATTAAAAAGGACATTTTTGTCCAATTCAAGTATTGGCAACTTTCCCCAATGTGAGAAAGTTATTTACCCACCTAGGAGATGGGTATCACTTACCTATCCCAAAAAATAAACTTTCCCTAATCCCCATATAAATTTAAAAAAAGAACATGAGATTCTTGGTCAATGGGAGCCAAAATCCCATGACCAACTTTTCCCCTCTCAAAATCCAAAAAAAAGAACGCCCCCTAAAAAGATTTGAGAGGAGAAAAGAAAGGATTTAAAGGTAGTTGTATCCAAAGCAACAAGATCTTTCATCATTTCAGCAAATCAAAAAACAGTTAATAATAAAATTAATGGTTCAATTTCAAAGCCAGAATATGTATATCACTGAAAGCAAATGAAACTAAGGCCCCGTTCGCTTTTTGGTAAGTTACTTACCTAGGTAGATGTAGTTACCTGGGTAACTTTTTCATGGGAAACACTTACCCGGGTAAGTGCATTTACCCATGTTCTTTTATTTCTTATGTAAATAAGGCAATGGCCATTTTAGCCATAAAAATCCATTATTAAAAATGACATTTTTTTCTCATTCAAGTGTTGGCAACTTTCCTCCTAGGTGGGAAAGTTATTTATCCACCTAGGAGACTAGGAAAATAAATCTTCCCTCGTCCCCACATAAATCTGAAAAAAAAACATGAGATTCTGGTTCCCATTGACCAACTTTCTCCCCTCTCAAAATCTGAAAAAAAGAACACCCCCTAAAAAGTAAAAAGACCCCTGAATGAATAAATAAAACACATGTCAAAATGAGCCAGGTTGTCCAAATTCTACAAATGCAAGTGAAATCCAACGAATAAAAAGGAAGCATAGCTTACTCATAGCCTCATAGAGGACGATGTGTTAGTTCACACGAGTCTGATTCTGATCCTGACTTCTACGGTTCTACCTTGGCCATTGCTTCAGAATTGCATAATCAAATCAATGTTCATGAAGATCAATCACGCCAGTTATAGAGAGAGGGGACACTCATTCAGAGAGGCACATTAGTCTCTTTGGCTCAGTTTGGAAAAAGTATAAATACAAACATGTATAATGAAAAAATCTATGATACCAAAAAGACATAATATGAGATTGGAAGAGCTTTGACCAATCAAAGCACCAATACCTTATGATTGGGCATCTTTTTTTATAATACCAGTTGATTGGTTATAAATTTTTCTTTTATCATATCTTTCCGGTATCATAGTTGAACCTAGAATATATATTTGATTTGATATATTCATCCCTTTGCAGCCCTACCCCAAATATTAAAGTATTCTTCATGTTTTCATCAATACTTATATATGCGTATAACAGGATTCAAAATGTGGAGCACTCATTTAAATTAAATCACCGGTGTGTAATCATATCAAATTAGATCATCACGTGGTGTGCCCATATCAAATTAAATCACCATATGATGTGCCCATATTAAATCACCGGTGATGATCAACTAATTTAAACATACAGTTCATTTGTAGGTTAGAAAATAATGGTTCAAATTTTATCAAGGCACACGCAAGAGAGTTCACATCGCACCCCACAGGACATGCCCCATAGACACCCCACAGCACATTCCGACTGTCTATTGAAAATATTTCCCAATAACAAATATAAAAGATATTTTCAATGCATGCTGAGATGTACATGTTGGGCTCTGATGTGATTTCCATACAAGATTGCCCAAAAATCAGACCCGCATTTGATTCAATATTGGCACAATTATTAAATATACCCAACTTTGAAATCTGAATACAAATCCTTAATTAAATGAATCATTCAAATCCAAAACAGTCAAATTGAATCTTGGGATTTCAGTCTCCGCCTAGTTGCATTTTTTTTATAAGTGCCCCAGTTGCAATTCCTGTTGACAAAAACATGTGGTCATTTTGAGCGTTGACCAAAGGATCCCTTGACTGCATACTTCTTCCTCAAAAGACAATGAAATTGATAATTGTGATTTTTTAGGCTAAATTTGGAAAGAGTAAAATAACATGTATAATGTATATCAAGAACAAGGATGCAAATTAGTGTATTTAGATTTTTGAGTTGCCTAGTTGGTTAATTATGTAGGCTCTGTTTGGAAAGCGTGACAAATATGCATAGTTCTTAAATATATACTCTCTTGTATTTGAACTGAATGTTTTTGTATTTGCACTCTTCCCAAATGGAGCCTCAGGAATAGTTTATGTTCTGATTAGTGCATTTTGATTTTATTCATAAAGAACAATGTGAGAAAAGCCATGATAGGATTAGAAATGAATTATTTGAAATAATAGTAGTGGTTCCAAAACCTATACAATATAATGCCCATAATTGCCTTAACTTTTACAAATCATAAAAGTTTAATTACAGTATTTGCATGTATTGGTGTAAGGCATTGTTATGTATGTCTGTAAGAGTAAATATAAGGTAATTTGCATTATCATGTTATATGGCCATTTATTTGAAAAATGGCATTAGTTCATCACTAAATATACATTTATTCTAAAATGTTATTTGGTAAGATTGTTTATTAAATAAATGTTTTCTTAATTTGTGTGAGCCAAATCAATCATTGGGGTAACATCATTTTTAATGTTTTTCCCAACACACAATTGTTTATTTATTGTTTAACTTATGTGGCGCCAAACTTTCAAACAACATTAAAATAAACATTTATCAACCACTTTTTCATTTTTCAAGATAAGTCTAGTACAAATGTTTATTGAAGCCTTATTTGGCGTGTCTTTCCACATGAGCTATCGATTGTTTAGAAGTCCGATAGCCCGTGTTTTTGTCTTTTCCCATTTGGTTGGGAAAATATCTAGCTGTCAAAAGATGCCACCCAAAAAATGCCCAAAACCTGTTCTGGGCTATTTTCGGGAAGCTCCAAATGGAATTTTTTTACTTTTTTTCATCACATCTTTGCATAGAAAGATGTGCCTTAACCAAACGGTCTTCAAGCTACTAAAACCTTAATGCAAAAGCTCATATTGCCTTTTGGTTGTCAAGTCTGTCTAAAGATCTTTCAAAAATAACTACGATACCAAACAACTTCTAGATAATCAAATTCAATTTTTTATGCCCTACACCAAAACCAAGACAAATATACGTTTTAAATAACACTAGTGCATGGGCACCATAAAGATATAAATTTACATTATATAATGGCCTACACCAAAACCAAACAAAATATCTATTTTAAATAACACTAGTGCAAGGGCACCTATTAGATTAATGTAAAAGAAAAAGTAAAGGGTAAATGTATGAATTTATAGCCTAAACCAAAAGCAAAGAAAGTATCTGTTTTAAATAACACTAGCGCAAGCAAGGGCACCTGCTAGATCAATGTAAAAAAAGTAAAGGGTAAGGCTTCATTTGGATTTGGTGTAAAACGTCATCAGTGTAAAAGTTCATTGATGACGTTTTAGCTTGAATTGTATAATAGGTAGCCATTATATTTTGAAAACCGTGATAAAAAAAGTGTAAAGTTTTACATCAATTTTATATTGATAATCGATGTAAAACTTTATGCTTGATGAGGTTTTACACAAGAATAAAAGTATTAATATCGGGTATCGTATCAGATACGGATACACTTTGGAAATGCATGGATACGAATGAAAGATATAGAAACGCTTGAATACGCTAGTGAAATGCATACAAATCACATAAATACATAATAATACTAAACCAAAAGTTGAATTATCTATGAATAAAGATATAAAGACATGAGAAATACACAATTCAATAGGTTATATGAAGAGAAATATTAAATAAACAATACTCGGACTGTAGAACACTCAAACATTGTACAATAATTATCATTCTTTCAATTTTATAATTATAATTTTCAATTTTTATTAATTTTTAGGAATATTTATTAATTTAGTATTTTATTTAAATAACAACTAATTTTTAAATAATAAATATGTTTTCATTTTTAACATATAATATTTTTATTTTACACATAATTGTAAAATAAAACAAATAAATCATTTAAAGTAGATAAAATAAATTATATTTAATTTTCATTTTTTATTAAATATTTTGGGAAAATTAAATCTTAAATTATTCGTTTCAATTTTTATAATTATAATTTTCTATTTTTCCATTAATTTTGTTGGGAAATTTTATTTATTTAGTTTTTTTATATAATAACTATTTTTCAAATAATAACTATGTTTTTATTTTTAACATGTAATTATGTGTAAGATAAAATATATAAATCATCTAAGGAAGATGAAATATATTATTTTTATGATTTTGTTTTTATTATTTTTTTTGGAAAAATTAAATCTTTAATTATTCATTTCAGTTTTCTTAATACTATTTTTTAACTTGTATTAGAGATAAAAAACAATCCAAAAGTAATTAATGTACAATTTTGTCAAACTAGACACGAATATGCCTCCGTATCAGTATTTATCGGATCGTATCCGAGATACCTGATACAAAAGTATATCGTACTCTACAACACCAATGCTATCTCGTTATAAGTGTTGAAAGTTTTGTTTTTTTTGTCTTTTTTCTGGTTGTCTTATATATTCTATCAAAAAACAAACACAGCCTTGAGCAATTTAAGGCAAATTTCCAAATGAAAAGAAATAAAAAAAGCATGTTTGTTGAATTCAAGGGCTAACCAACCTCAGCAGCCGAGATTATTTTTTAATTAATTACCTATCTCTATGACTCTATCTGTACCTGAGCTCGTGAAAGCGTTGGCATGGAATCCTTCTACCGCCACATTTCTCTTACATTATTTGTGTCAGACGAATTTTAGCTCCAATTCCATAGATGAAAGTTACAAAATACTGAAAGAACGAAGAAAGCTCGTCTGCTTCTGGTCGTATAGTTGAAGGATCCGAGAAGCTTCGAAATTTGGGTAACATGCGCCATTTATAACACTCTCTGTGACTCTGTGTCTCTCTGTCCAGTTTATTAATATAATATATAATTAAGGATGCTGCAGATACAAGCTCGAGCTTCGATTCGACATATGTGTGCTATAAAAGTCGCCTTTTTTTTGGTAGAAGCTATCAAAGTAGCCACGTGCTTCCGAAATTACCCGCCTGAAACGCTAGGGTGCTATAACTGTAATCACCGGTTCCGGATCAACGCCTTCTACCACTCGAAAATGGAAGCCGTCTCTGACGCTGCCAAGCTCCGATCGGATTTTCTTCATGTTCTGCGCAGCCGACGACCCAAAGAAGGTAGACATCCATCCATCCATATCTAATAATTCTTAGTTTCCGCAATTATAGATGGTATGGTTTCATTTTATTTGGCGGAGTTTAATTCTTTCTCTCTCAGTTGGATCCCAATTTTCAATTTGGTTTTAGTCATGAAGATGTCTATACGGAAGGTTAGGAAGTAATTGTGCTTACAGTCCTCTGCAAAAATGTTGGAATAGTTTAAGTTATGAATAATGAGGATATAGTGCACAATAGAGAATTCATGGATGCCTCTGCTTTTTCTGGACTTTAAACTGGCCTAGGACGGGTAGATTCTATTAGGTGGTTCTGTGCTGACATGTGAAGATTGTTGAAAGGATCACTAATGGTGGGTTGTGTCAAGGAACCATTGACAAAACGAGAGAAAATAACCAGTTAGGCCATAGAAATAATGATCGCTTGTGCTGTATGTTGGTATGAAGGTCCAGTTGTGAAGTGCAGTGGGATTCCTTCCCTGGAGAATACAATAGTCAGGGAAGAGGAGAAATAAGAGATTGAAATTTTAAAATCAAGGGGAATGCGATTTGTTATGAATAGCTGTCTACATGGCAGCGTCACAAATTTGCATTTGGTATCACAGCACTAATGAAGAAGAACTGGTCCATAAATTTAATTTTATTGGCTCTAGTCACTTTCTGATAAATAAAAAACTCTAAATCTTTTCATAATATTGCCTTTTTTTTTGCACACAATACAGAGATCTTTGCAAGAGAAGGGGAAAGAAAAGCAGGGCAATATAATCCCTATTGGTTGAAGGGAAACAAGATAACATTTACAGGGCTTTTGTGGATTTGGCCTTTGAATTATCCTGTTGAGATAGGTTATAGAAGTGCTAGATACTCGATTGGGCCTTTCATGGGAATTCTCTGTTTGCAACTCCCCCGCGCTCTTCTTGTTGTAGAAGACAATCCATATTAGCTACATTTCGTATGGACAAAATCTAAACATCATTTATAACCTTGCTGGTCTGAAAGTGCAGTAATATTTCATCTGTCTGATTCATTTGCTTTTTGGAACTTGTATGATCTTTCAGTTCCACTTTCAGTGGAGATTGCAAAACCCGTAGAGAATCCAATGTACCAAGATAACCCTCCAAGAAATAGTGAGGTAAGAATTGGGTTTTAAGATTTTCTTAGATTCGTTCACCCCTCCCCCCCCCCCAAAAAAAAAAAAAAAAAAGATATCTATTGTTAATTCTGTGGCCTTTCGTTTGCTCCAGGCAATGGAATCTTGCCCTAAGGAGAGCATTGATAATCTCAAGGATTTACTGAAAGAGGAGAACCTTTACTTGATGACTGAGGTAACTTCTGATTCTGTTTCATTCATACATGAGTAGTTTGCAAAATAACAAGTTTTTTCTAGTTAGTATGAGGTTCATGTTCTTTTTTTCAACTTGATTGAGACATCCCTGATATGGAAACAAACAAAGATGACCTGAGTCATCTTTATGCAGGAGGGCAGGCAGAAGTTGAGGTTTTGGGAAAAATAAGAATCATGAACAACTCAGATTTATATTAGGAAATTGGTCATTCCATTTCCTATACAAATGGGTGAACCTCTTAATGAAGCTGGAATTTGACATTGTACTAGAGCACTTGGGCTATAATAAAGGCATTGATTATGTTGAGACATGGCTGAACAAAATCAGCCATGTTGCCCATGTTCCCACATACTTCTGGGATTAAGATTCTCCTGAACATGAGTAACGTGGATCAATTTGCTTGGGCATAGCCTGGCTATGAATTGGTTGTAACCAAAAAGAACTCCAAAGTTTGACATCTTCTGTTTTGTTTCTGGTATGTATTATTTCACTGTAGATTTTAAAAATAAAATATGTTAAGATAAAATGAAAACTTGGCCACAGCAAGTTGAGGCTTCAACCATCAAGAGATCCTATAGAAAAGAAATAAAATCATGGAAACGAGGGCTTAACCAAAGCAAATCAACTTGTTAGTCAAACCATCTGTTTCTTAACTTTCTTTCATCTAGAGCCTTCTGCAAGAATTGCATGGCAAATTGAGCATCTATTGGTTGGATATTCACAAATGTACTGATTTTCAGTATGAATGGTACTGGATTTGTTCAATCTTATTGATGGATATACTTCTGTTCATTTTCATCAATAGGCAAGTGAGCAAGGGCGTTTACCTGTTTTGATATTGAGCATGAAAGATGACAAACATCAGAAAAGGCCAGCTATTGTATTTTTACACAGCACAAATAAATGCAAGGAATGGTTGCGACCATTACTTGAGGTAACCTAATGTTATGGACTTTCTTTCAGTCTTTTAGTGGTTTACCAATTCTGTATTGGTGGTCTTTATTCTAACTGTTCTGAATTTTCAGGCATATGCTTCACGGGGGTATGTGGCTGTTGCCATTGATTCTAGGTACCATGGTGAGCGGGCTAGCAACAAAACAACATATCGAGATGTATGTGATGATATTCCTCCATTATAACCTAGTTGAACATTTATTTGTACATGGGCTCAAAAAGAGTTAAAATTTTTTTCCTTTGCTGTAGTAAAATTTTCTGGAGGTGTGATTTTGAACAATACACAATCAAGTGATATTCTGTTGAGGTGATTTCCTCATTCTGATGAGGGAATTTTCACACTTAGAATTGATCTCAAGATGCTTATGAAACAATCATGAACTTATACAAGGATAATGATGGCATCTTTCTTCCCCTTTGCAGGGATTTTTTAGTCTTTGCCATTCTTTAATCAGCTTTTTGATATTTGCAATTAATTGCAGGCTCTTGTATCAGCATGGAAAAATGGTGATACAATGCCTTTCATATTTGATACGGTATTCTTCTCTTCATTTAGTTATGTTGGAGTTTCATTTGATTGAATTGGATTGCCTTGATTGATCGTACTTTAGTTTTCCATTTATTTCACAGTAAATTGCCAATTAAATTTCTAACTCTGGCAGGTGTGGGACTTGATAAAACTGGCAGATTATCTCACACAGAGGGAGGATATTGACCCCACTAGGATAGGGATTACTGGCGAATCACTAGGAGGTTGAGATAATGGAATGCATATCTAAATTAATTTAAATATTTTGCATTTTCAAGAATGTGGAAGACATATGAAATTGTGTTGCAGGAATGCATGCATGGTTTGCTGCTGCTGCAGATACCCGGTATGGAGTGGTTGTTCCTATAATTGGTGTTCAGGTGCGTGACATAAATGCTTTTAGCTTCTGTTATGCACTAAAGGAAGATATCCCTTTAGATCTACATAAATTGTAGTGGCTAATCTCACTGTTTATGTAAAATGATTACAGGGATTTCGATGGGCCATTGATAATGATAAATGGCAAGCTCGAGTTGACAGTATAAAGCGTGTTTTTGAAGGTAAGCTAAAAGGCATCATTATGAAAAAGCCCATTGACTTGCTTGCGTACTTCGGATCATGCTCACATGTTTAAGTCATGAATAGTCTACATAAAAGCAAATTCTAGGAGAAGTGGCATGAAAAATGATTTATGTCATATGCAGACTATACCAGAACAAAACAAACTTTAAGATTCTAACATCTTTGCTCTTTGAGAATTTGCAAACATGTGCACTAATGCATAGACCACTAAGCACTAAATTTCTTGGAGAATATCACTTGTAAATTTGTAATTGCCATCTTATGACATGCATTTATGTTTGCATTGTGGTGCATTTTCCTTTTTTACATTATCCAACAGAGAATATTTGGATACTCTGATTTATTGTTGATGGGAGGAACTTATCAACTTGTTTTTTTGGTTACAGAAGCACGTGTTGATTTGGGAAAGACTGAGATTGATAAAGAAGTGGTTGAAAAGGTCGGTTTCATAATTTTGATCATTCAATCGCATAATATCACATCTTGGGCATTTGCTTGGTTACAGAAGCACGTGTTGTTTTTTACTAGTGGGTGTAGGTCTCTCAAATTCGTGGAAATGCCAATCATGTGTTTTTAGTTACTTTCTACTTATATATATTTGTCCTGTCCAAATTCTAACCTTTTATTTTCTAGCATAAGGTGAATTATATCTTATGTATTTACTTCTGCCCAGGTATGGGATAGGATTGCTCCTGGTCTAGCCTCACAGTTTGATTCACCTTACACAGTTCCAGCTATTGCACCACGTCCTCTGCTGATTGTAAATGGTATAGATTTTTCTTGAACTTTAATCATCTTGGTTTGTTTTATCAGTTTTTCCCTACAGCCTCCCAATGAATTAAAAAAAAAAAGAAAAGAAAAGAAAAGAAACGAAGTGGAAAATTATACTCCTGTTTTATCACATTTTGTTTCTCCATTTTTCATTAGGCTCTATTAGGATCATGCAAATAAGATATTAACTACACCTGGGGGTAGTCTATCTGGTAGGGATCTGCCATGGACACAGTCTATGCAGCATAATAATTTGCAGATTTTACTGGTTGGAATATTCTAGAAGAACTCAAGAGTCAAGACTTTGCTAGTAAGAGAAAATAACTCAGTGAAATGAAGGAAAGATCAAGTAACTGTACACATAAGGCCAACTTAGACAACCAACTAGGCAGCTCATCTGGCTTCTTACTCAAATGCAATCAAATATTTATCAGCCTTGGCTTCCAAGTCCTAGTTTCATTAGTGAAAAAAAAACTTTGCTTTTTCTCTAGATCTTTTTTGGATATATCACCATCTTCAACTAGAGTTATTTCCAGCTACATCATTTTTTTTTTGGTTATTGCTGGTTTTCCTTTGTTAATTCTCTCCATAGCATTGCTGAAAGATTGTTCTACATTATAAGTTTATTTATGATTCTCTTTGTAATTGCATGCTATAAACAATTCTGTATTAATCCATGTCTAAACCAAACCATAGAAGTTGCATGCAAATTTCTCAAGTAGGAATCAATTTTTTCTGTAATAAAATTATTCTGTGATGAAGTTCATCAAAAGATCTTTATAGGCTGCTTATCAGATAACCTTTTGATTGGAATACCAGGTGCAGAAGACCCTCGTTGCCCTCTTGCAGGTCTGGAAATTCCAGTATCAAGAGCACAAGAGGTTTATAAAGAAGCTAATTGTCCAGAAAAATTCAAGGTATGGATCTATACCAATGTTGCACCATGCACCTCATGTTGAATGCCTTCAAAAATACTATGCAGCATCATGGTGTGACCATTTTTCACAAACTAGTCACAAGACATTTTCTGGTGCCTATTTTGGCAAAAATGGGTGTTGATTTTGCAGAACCTAAATGAGCATTTTATGCCGTGAAGTGTTCCCACCTCATGTTGTAGGTGGAAATCTTACTTGATTTCTGTCTTTATGCATAAGGCCACATGGGTTAATCCAAAATGCATAAGATGCCGTTCCGAACAAGATCCTGCAATTGACATTACTATTTACAAACACGTATTAATTCATGGACATGAGAGGATAATTACTTCTAAGTTGACATGTTAGCTGCCACTGGGAATGCACTCTAGCACTCTTTTACCTTGTTTGTCTCATCTTGAAGATTTGATTTTCTTCTTATGTATACATTTTTGTATATCTAAGAATTACAGGAAAACGTGATTCATAGTTACACCTTTTGCCTCCCCCCACCCAACCAAGAAAAAAGAAGAAAAAATATATAGTTTTGGCTAAATGTCTTCCTTTTATGTTTCACTTCTAGCTGGTGGCGCAACCTGGGATCGGGCACCAAATGACATCATGGATGGTAAAAGAAGCGAGTGATTGGTTTGACAACTTCCTCAACTGAGAATTTATTGGTTACCATCCTTCTACGGGATCAAGTTATTTAGCATATCCTGCAGATTTATAAAGATTTGCATTTCAGTTTTCTGTTATGCCACGTATTTTCCACCATCACTTCTGTAGGTTTCTTTTTCGTGTGGAAATGCAAATTGGTGCATCTGCTGTTGTATTTAGAAAACTTATTTGCAACTAACATGCATTAATAAATAAAGAATGCTACAATGAGATCTATGTTTCCTTTTCATCAGCAAGAGTACCAATTGGTGATCATCTATATTGGTGCTTTGCTATATTATTTTTTTAATATTTTCTATGCATAGATCTGATACGCTGCCATACAAAGTTAGAAACAGGTCATCAACTGCTGAATTCGGAAATGATTTCTTCTATTAGAAAATTTGCCCTATTTTTGTATTCTTGTTAGGGCACAAACCGTAGTTTACATATGACACACAAATGATACCTTCCAGATTCAAATTTTTTTCATATTTTGTTATGGAAGGCTAGCAGCTCAATGGTGGTAGACTGGTAGTTGCCAAATCTGGCTACTCCATCAGATGTCAATCAATATGGATTAAAAGTTTAAGGTCTGTTTGGTTTGCGGGAATAGGGGTCTGGAATCAAACCATTTCGTTGAACAGAATTGGAATCTTATTCCCATTTCCGGTGGAATGGCATTCTCCCTTTCAGGAAATGTCAATCATAGTCTCCAATATGCACTACAGGTTATTACTCTTCCTTTTTCCATAATAAATGGTGGCACCAAAAACTTATCCAAGCGATATGTTAAACAGTTAAGGCTAAAGACAGATAATGAGAGTGAATCTTCTTTTGCAGAAGATCTGAATTCTGAACTCGTTTGTAACGACTTCCTTTCTTTTTCCATAGCCAGATAATCACCACGTAAATGCCTTTTTTCAGTCGTAGAACAAAGCAAATGTCTCAAAATGATGTTGTTGGTGCATCTCCAAGCAAGCCACCCCAGAAGAATGCTACTTTGTCCGTTTTGTCTCCAGGAATCTGTACCCCGTGTTGCCGTGAATCATATATTCAGAAGATCAGGACCCAGTGCTGAGAAAAGCCTACCCAGAGACTACAACCAAGACAATCAGAGCGGATCAGGTCGGATTCGGGATTTGAATTAAGACATATCCAAATCTGATCGGATACTATAAACTTGATTGGATCCCACAAGCATCGATCCGAATCTGAATCTGATAAAGGATATTGAATATTGGAATATGATCCAATCTAATTTAATTTAAAAATAATAATAAATTATTAAAAAGAGAAGGGAGTGTAAGTATTTTTCTCAATTATTTTCATCATATATATATACATGTTTTTTATAAAAATAAATAATATAAAATATTAGAAAAAGATATAAATATAACTAATATACATCAGACTGGATAGGGGTGATCCGAATTCAATCCAATCCAATATAAAAATCCAAAATGGGGATATCCAAATCCACGAAATAGGATTGGATTTAAATTGAATCGGATCATATATCCATTTGCACCCCTACCACAGACCATGGCCTCTCTTGGAAGTTGGAGCGTTATATTCGCTGCCTCCCTCAAGGAAGGGAAATTGAGGAATTAACTACTCTACTTTAATCACTTTCTAACGTGTACCAAAAAAAAAATGCTTGTTAAAATCGAATCTTTTCAAAAACGGAACCACAAAAATGGCAAAAACCTAAGAGAATATATCGGCAATCACGTTGGTAATGGTAGCAGGGTTAACTTTGGCTGTTAGACAGTTTCTGGGCTGAGCATGTTTTGGGCAGTTTAGAAATAAAAATCTAGGGCTGTGGAAGTTCAGAAATAGTAGTCCCAAAACACATGGTTCTTGATCAATTGGTGGGTCATTCAATAATTGTGAATTTGTACATTCAATAATTGGGAAATCATACCATCACCTTGCCCATTCACTAATTGTGATTTCATGCCCATTTGGGCTGAATTAAATCCATTTTCCAGTGGTTCTTTAGTAGTATCAACAGTTGAAGGATTCTGAACATACATGGCATCATCAGAGTCCAGATAATCATTGCTAAAAAAGGACAGGGTCCAATCTTCCTGAAGCCTACTCTGACCTCCATATTTCCCTAAGGAACTTGTTAATTTCTTGCTAAAAGTAAACAGAAGTGTAAATTCGAATGTTATTTTGTATGTATTTGCACTGTATATATGGGCTCCAAACCACTTTTCCATGTGGAAGACACCCCCACTCACTATTATTAATTTTATGTATATGATATGGTTCTACGCATTTAATGTGGGGAGCCTTGGCCCAAAATATGAATATCAAGATTACCCTTTACTTGTTTAAGCTGCAACTTAATATCACCTCTCTATGTAGAGCTATCTTATCCCCCTTTATTCTTTTATATCGCCCATGGCTTACGATGCATTGAAGCCGCCTCTTCCCGTTTGTTCACATGCATCACACACGCATGGGTTTCTCTCATACCATTTTTGTGCAAGCCATTCCGATCAATCTATCTCCTCCAGTTGTGTCTGAAGCCATTGCTGTTTTGGAAAGTATAAAGTTCGCCATTTTCATGGGTTTCTCTCATACCATCTTTGAAGGTGATAATGAATCAATTATCAAACTCTTGTTGGAGAATACCAGGAATACCCCTTAAATGCATATTCTAGTTCTAAGATATAGTCGCCTAGTCGAGCTCGAGCATGCTACTGAACTTGTACAAAAACGGAACCACAAAAATGATTAGACTCCAACTGTTGTTCATTCATTCCTCTAGATCCAGTTCATCTAACCGTTGCACACCAGTCCGATGAAAAAAACGCTAGGCACATTACAGTTTTGCACCAACTATCCTCAACATATGAGAAATTTGAAATTTCAAAGAATACAGAAAACAATGTGCATAAGTGCAAATATGTGTAAAGTGTAATACAGTGTGAACAAAAATGGATGTGCCTAGTATTGTTCTGTTACTAGCAGATTTGGACTCCCAAACCATCAAAGTCTCCTGTTCATGCATATCTTATGTCCCCATGGCATAAAGAAATGACCTGCTTTTCTTCTCCTGATGGCATGCACGGCATGTTGCCCAGATTGCAAACTTGCAGTTGTTCCCAAGCATGAGAGGCAAATATTCGGCCAAAGTATTTTAGGATTTAGAGTTGAAATTCCCCCATCCCCTTTGCAATGAAAGTTGAAGCAAAAAGAACCAGCTGCAAATGATTCAAGATTGTATACCTGCGTCCAACTGCTAGCAATGCTCGTAATTTAGAAGAGTTCTGATGTTGTCCAATGTAGTAAACTGCATTTTGGATTTTCCATGTGTTTGAATGCCATCCTCTTTACACCAAGAATTCCTTCTGCTTTTTCTCTCCCCAACACACACCCACTCCCCTCAATCCTTTTTTTATACCTAATTATGAATATTTCTGTTATGGAAAACCCCAAGAAAACATATTTGAATGGAAACCCAAATACAAGTAGAACGAAGGTAAAGAGAAGCAAGCACAGAGAACACACAGATAAATTAATGTGGCTCGGCTTATAGCCTACGTCCACGGGTGAAGGAGTAGTAGAAATCCACTATGCAATCAGCAATGGAGAAGAAACAGAGTTTTGCACTCACAACATCACTCCCAGAAAACCCTAAACCCCAAAATACACCCAATGTCTATCTCTTCTCTCACAAGACAAAGACTAAGTATACAAGAGAAAACCTCCAAAAATACGTAACTCTTACTCTTTGCATTCGGTGCGGACCTATAAGCTGAATATGGATCGGGTCCATACCCCCCCGGCACCCCAAATGGTGATTTGTGGTGGGCTACAGGCTTGGACCTAGTCCCCCACGAAAAGAAATCTGCAACAAGAACTCAATATTATATTGTATCAGAATGTCATGGCAACGATAAAATGGATTAAAATGTTCATATTTGCCACCACAGAATTGGAAAGGGTGATGATTCTGGAAGAAACTGCTAGAGAGTCCAATTTCAAACACTGCCTCTCTTAAAATTCAGATTATACTTGAGTTCCATTCTTTAAGCACAGAGTTATTGATAGAAATGAAACAACAAAGTGTAGTTTTTTATTTGAGAATTTAAACAAACAACGTTAGAGTTCATCAAATAAGTCACAAGACATCCAGGTGAACTTGTAGTGATAATAAGCCATGACAACAGACATTTCCTTTCATCAATTTACCTTTTCTTTGGCATGGCTGCAAGCCTAGTATACATCCTTGCCATGGTTTGATATCCCCTAACATCACCAGAACGCAGAAGATTGCCTGCAAATAAGTGAAGCAGATTAATGAATTACAGAGCATTAGGATAGAACCGACTTTTTCTTTTGTTGGTCCCTTAAGTCCTAAGAGGTTACACTAATCATTTGGCAATTATCTACCCCCCGCCCAAAAAAATAATAATCAGATTTTTCCAATTTGAAATCTTGCAAATCAAATAAAAGAAACTGCATTTCCCTCAGTCCAAGGTTAATATTGCTTTTGATTTTATCCATTTTCCAGTGAGATAAACCAGTTAGAATAAAACAAACAATAAGTCTACTGAACTGTAGATAGATTATTGTCTTCTAATCTTTTCACTTTCTATTCTTAACATTACAATTAAATGGCTATATTATACATTTGATTGGCAAAAAACCAATTACAAAACTAATGCAAAAAAGCTCTAACAGCTCTAGTATAATAGTCTTCTGTCTTAAAAGGATTATTTATTTTCAGTTTGGGGCATGCTGGGGGAGAGATTGTGTCATCACTGTAAATTACTAAAAAGAACTAGATCATATTTCTAAGTTGCAAGAATGTGGTACAATAGCCTTCCAAGAACATGCTATTAAATGAATATAAATGATGTTGCAACAACTGACAAATCCAGTGGGTCAGATCAACACGATAGCTTAGAGAAGATAAAGCTCCATTATATGATGATGCCATGGATTTTCAATATTAATTCAAAAACATCAGAAAGTTATATATATATATATATATATATATAT